GAAAGACCCTTAAACACTGAGAATAAACTGAGGGTTGATGGGGGGTGGGTGAGGGGCATTGAGGAGGGCACCTGTCAGGAGGAGCGCTGGGTGTTGCATGGAAACCAATTTGACAATAAATTATATTTAATAATAATTTTAAAAAGCACACAGATTAATGCCCCACCCAGGGGCTCCTCTGGCCCAATGGACAAGGGGGCTGGTCCTGAGCCCCCCCAGCTTCCCATGGATTTGTAGGGTGGGGGGGCCTGTGCCTCCCTGAGCGTACCCCCCCCCTTTCCCATTTCTCTCCCTTTCATGTTTCATTTCCCTGTCTCACATTCTCCCGATCCGTTCCTGTCTCTCTCTGCTTCCGTCTCTCCCTCAAGCCTGCCTGGGGATCTCCCGCACTAACCCAGCGCCAGCCCTCAGTCCAGGAGGCTCTCCCGAGCCCAGATCCTAATCTCCCCCCCCATCTGTCCTCACTGTGGCCTCGGGGCCTCCGCTCCAGGAAGCCTGGGGCTCTCTCTTGCTGCCCAGGAGACCCAAACCGCGTCAGAATCCCTCTCAAACCTAGGAAACCCAGCAGCCCAGCATCCACAGCCTTACACACAGCCACCACTCCCCTCCCCTGACTTTTTTAGATGGGGAAACTGAAGCCTGTATCATGAGGAGTCTCATCCAGGGCCTCCAACCCCCAGTGGCATGACTGGTCATTCTGGTCCAGCCACCAGGCTCTGTGGCTCTCAGGCTGTCCTCCAGCCTGCGGTCCCCTGGGCCTGCCCTATAAATAGTCGCTGTAAATGGTTCCCCCCACCCCCCACCCCGGGCAGGCTGGACAGTGACACCCTCACCTCCCGCAGCTGGTTTCCCAGTGACTGTGGTCTCGTGGGTGGCCCAAGTCATGTCGCGGTGGCACTGGAGGTGGCCTGGTGCCAGCCAGGAGCTGGGGGGGGGGTGGGCAGCTAGAAGCAGGGTCTGAGGTGGAACCTCCACCCAGGAAGTGCCCCCATTGGCCCCGAGCTCCCTGCCTTTCATCGTAACTGTGGGGGGGCGCAGGAAAGGAGTCTCAGGCTGAGGGTCCCTTCTTCAGGAAGCCCCCAGGCCCTTGGGGACCCCCAGCTCCGGGTAACTCCTCCCGGCCTAGACTCTATGGAACTAGGAGTATCTGTGTCAGGCCTAGACCTTCCCAAGCTGGGGCCTTGGACTTCACCTGCACAAGGCAGGAACCTGAAGGTGGCTAGGAATGAATGAACAATCCCACAACCACAAAAACCCCATCTGAAGCCGGGTACTAAATAATACGTTCCAGGGTGGGACATTGGATGACGCCACCCCCTCCCCAAGGCAGAGTGCCATCCCAACAACGGGGTCTGGAGCCTGACGTCCTGGGTTCGAAACCCCTCCTCTGCCACTCATCGACCTGCGTGACGGGTTCATCTGTCTGCGCCTCTGTTTCCCCTTTGGTGAAAGATGGTACCCTGGCCTCAGAGCTGCTGAGGGGAGTAAATGAGCCTGTGGGAAGCTGGGTCGGGCCTATCGTCAACCGGAAGAGGTGAGCCTCTTCCCTCTGACAAGATTGAAATTCTAGAGACAATCAGAGATAGAAGCATGGTGTCTGTACCAGCCCTGGTGAGTCTGGGGAGGCCCCGAATCTCCGTCCCAGACCCTGGCCACCTCTTAACTCCCCTCTTTCCCTTTCAACCTCTCCTTTACCTACATCCCTCCACCCCCAGATCCCCAGTTTACCTCCCTGTGAGATGGGCTCAAACAGGCCCATCCTCTTCTCCATTCTCCCGCAAAACTGCTCCTAAGCCCGACCCTTTCTCCCCAGATTCTGGTCCAACCCCAGCAGAATCTGTCCCTGTAACCAGCAAGGCACTGCCTCCCTGGTCTCCGTGCTTCTGCTCTCAGCCCCCATAGAACCTTCCCTCCATGTGGCCAGGGTCAGACTCGTCCTGCCTTTCTCCAGAACCCTCTATGGCTCCCACCTTCCGTGGGGTAAGAGCCAAAGGCCTTGCCATAGCCCCAGGACCCTGCTGGCCTTGCGGTTCCCACTTCCTTCCAACTGTTGGCAGGGAGGCTGGGGAGAACCCCGGGTCCTGCGGCCTCCATCCGGCTGCACCCCGGGATGCTGCCAGAGACCCTTGGTCTCCTTTGCGAGAAAGAATTCGAGGACAGACCAGGCATGACGGCTGAGTGGTTCAAGAAGGAATGTGTAGTTCAAGTGAGAGTACACTCTTGAGAGGTGAGAGCGGGCAGGCTCAAGGAAGAGCTGCTGGGCCTGGGGTTTGGGTCTCTAGCCTTTATTGACAGTTGTTAACGAGGGGGTGGAATATTTATTTCTTGGGGAGGGGATTTTGGGGGGAGCAGGGCTTTGCACTTTTGTTGTTGTTGTTGTTGTTGTTGTTGTTGTCTTGGGCCTGTCTGGTTTGAGCCGGCTTTTTGTGGCTTTGTTTTGGCGGGCTGCCAGGACAGACCTCTGACTTTCCCCATAACTGACCGTGACTCACACTTTGCTGGCCTTCAGACATCCCGTTAAAGCCTCACGAACTGCTGACTCTAACACAACTCTCACTCCACTCAGGCCACATGGGCCTCTGGGAAACTCCTCCACGGCAGGCACTCTCCTGCCCCAGGGCCTTTGCACAGGCCGTGCCTCTGCCCGCGACAGTCTCCCCCAAGACATCCATATGTCTCCGTCACCTCCTTCAGGTCTCAGCTCGGAGGTCCGCCCACATGCCCTTCTTTTTCTCTTGCCATCAGGAGTCTGTGTTTTGTTCACAGCAATGTCAAGCCAACGTGCTTAATCAGCGCGCTTAATCACGTTCTTAATGAGAGCCATTTACCAGGTGCTTACTGTGTGCTAGGGGCTGGGGACAGGGCTGAGGACGATGGGGACATATCCCTTGGTGGGATTTATGGCCTGGGGGCAGGGAGGGAGATGGATGGAATGAATGGAGTAGGACACTTGGCCAGATGTGGCAGAGAGAGAGTTTTTCAGATGAGCACCTTCTGGCAGGGGCGGCATGGAGACCGAAGCCCTGAGCTGGGAATGCATTTGTTTCTTCCTGAGGAGGTGGCGTGGGGAGGTCATGTGGAGAGGGCAGCAAGGTGGGACTTATGGGGCCTTTGGGGCCACAGGGAGGGGGTTGTCGTCACCTTCAGAGCGGTGGGGCACCCTGGGAGATCTCAAGGCAGGTGATCGGATTGGAGTCATGTCTCCCAAAGGAAAGAGCGGCTGTGTGTGTCTCACCAGTTCACACATGGGGAAACTGAGGCTCAGAGGGGTGAAGTCACTTACCCAGCGTCCCCGACTCCCACGTCTCCAACCAGGAGCCCGCAGATCCCTCCCCTGCCCCCACCCAGTGGCAGATGGGTAAACCGAAGCAAAAAGGTGCCGTTACTTCCCAAGGTCCCCTGGGAACACAGTCAGCCCTCCTCCACTCCCCTTGCCCCTCCCCGTGTCCCCTCACTGGGGGACTTTCTGACAGGGAGGAAACAGCAGCGGCTGGTTTCACAAGTGGGTGGCCAAAGCCTCAGTCCCGGTTTCGATTTGCTCGATTTGCAGATTTGCAAATAGCGTCCGGCTCCAACCGCCTGAGGCCTGGGGAGGTTTGCTGCTCGGGGCTGATCAACCTGTGTGCTCAGGGGAGGCAGGGTAACCCTGGGCAGAGGGGAGGTCAGGGGTCTGGGGACCATGTGGGCAGGGGAGCCAGGGGCCTGGGAGTGCACGGAGCCCTCATCCCCACTGAGCTTTGATCACTCATTCAATCAACAGTCAACAATGACTTCATGCTTTGCTGAATTAGCACATTTTATTCTGCGGAGCATACATTAAGTGCTTGCTGTTTAAAAGGCTGTGTACCAGGTACTAGTTCATCCCATCACCCCCAACAACGCTATAAGGCAAAGTCTGAGCTTCCTGGGGCTGGAACAGATGACCGTGAACCTGCCACATTTCAAACAACTTGTTCTCACACAGTCCAGGGGGCCGGAGGCCTGGAACCCAAGTGGTGGCGAGGTGGGCTCCTCCTGGGGGCTCAGAGGGAGCGCCCAACCCAGGCCTGTCTCCTGGCTTCCCGTGGTCGCCGGCAGCCCGTGGGGTTCCTTGGCTTGTGGCTGCATCACCCCGATGTCTGCCTCTGTGTCCACGTGCACGTGGCCTTTGTCTCTGTCTTCTTCTTTGTCCCTTAACCCGAGTCCCCGAAGCTCTTGTCTCCAGATCCAAAGCTTATTATGTTTGCAGTGACCCTTGTTAAAGAACAAAAATTGGACCAAGTAGAAGATCTAATTGCCTTTATCAAACCAGACACGGGGCGCCTGGGTGGTTCAGTCGATTAAGCGTCCGACCTCAGCTCAGGTTACGATCTCATGGCTCATGGGTTCGAGCCCCGCAGCGGGCTCTGTGCTGACCGCTCAGAGCCCGGAGCCTGCTTCGGATTCTGTGTCTTTCTCTCTCTGCTCCTCTCCCGCTCACACTGTCTCTCAAAAAATAGATAAATGTTAAAAAAAAAAAATTGTTTTTTTTTAATCAGGCCAGGCACAAATGGGACGTTGTAAAAAAAATGGAAGGTTTTTACCAGAAGGGTGGGGCTAGAAAGTTATTAGCAAAAGAAAAGAGGGGCGCCTGGGTGGCTCAGTCGGTTGAGCGTCCGACTTCAGCTCAGGTCACGATCTTGCGGGTCTGTGAGTTCGAGCCCCGCGTCAGGCTCTGGGATGGCCCAGAGCCTGGAGCCTGCTTCCGATTCTGTGTCTCCCTCTCTCTCTGACCCTCCCTCGCACGCGCTCTCTCTCCCAAAAATAAATACTTTAAAAAAATTAAAGAACAAGAAAGAAAATTCCTGGCTGACTGGTTAAGACTTACACTCTCAGGGAGGTTGAATTTGCAATTAGGTTAGGTATTAAGCCCCTTTTTGGCCTAAGGGACACTATCTTGGACATTTGGTTTTGCTTTCGCGCCCTTTAAGGTCACATTCTCAGGTTGTGGGTAGACATCTCTTTTTTGTGAGGGGCGGGGCACAACCCAGCATTGTCCAAGAAGATCATTATCAGCTCTACTTTATGGGCAGCTGAGGCACAGAGAGATCAGGTTGCTGCTCTGAGGGGCTAGGACTTCAACCCTGGCTGTCGGGAGCCTGAATCTATTCGCTTCACCGCTCTGGAATCCTCTCCAATCTGCTGTGGGCCAAGCCCTTGCCGGAAGCTGGGGACATCGAGGCGAGCAAGGATTGGAAGCAACAGGTACATGACCTTGTGGACCCCAGGCTAATGGGTGTTCACTGTGTTCTGATATGAGCTTAAGACCAAAGGTCCCCCGAAGCGATCTGCCTGGTGTCCTCCAAAAGACGGGGCCACCTGGAACCTGTGAATGTGGCCTTATTTGGAATAGGGTCTCTGCGGATGTCATTAAGGTAAAGATCTTGAGATAGGATCATTCTTGTTTAGGGTGGGCCCTAAATCCAATGCCAAGTGTCCTTGGAAGATAAGAGAAAGGAGGGGAAGAGCTGAGACAGAAGAGAAAGCCATGTGAGATGGAAACGGAGACTGGAGCGGGAGACTGAGTTTTGTGTGTGATGTGACAAAGGGACCCAACTGAATTGTTTGGGCTTTTTTTTTTTGGTACAGAAAAGGTAACTGGTTTTATTAGAGCACGGGGACAGGACCCGTGGGCAGAAAGAACTACCTGAATTGTTTTCAACATAGACTCTCACTGTACGGATTCTTTTAGACAATACTCTCCCCTCCCCGCTGCTGAGATAGATCCTCTCTATCTTGGAGCCAATTCCTGACCTCCATAGGGTGACTGTGGGCATTTAATTCCAATCCATTGGTCAACGTGTCCCTGCCTGTGCCAGTATCCCTCTGACTTAATTACAAGCTTTGTCATAGGTCCCCATAGCTGGTAGGACAGGTAACACCGCCCTGTTCTTCTGTATAAGTATTCTGACTATTTGCAACCCTCTGCCCTTCCCGGTGAATTTTTGTGTCACCTTATCATGCTCCTGAGGGAAAGCCCATGTTGTGACTTTGGATGGGGTTGTGTTAAAACTTCGGGGTGGGGGAGACAAAACAGACCCTCAGATGGGGAGAATCTGCATCTTTTAAGCCTCAGCCTCCCCGTCCATGAATATGGTACATCCACCTTCCCTGTTGCTTCTTTAGGATCTCTTAAGAGAGCCATTTCTGTTTCCCTGAAGGGTCGAGAGCCCCATTTATTTCATTTATTTCTCTTTCCAATGTAGGGAGGCCTCCACTTGATCTGTTTCACCAGATCATTCCTTCCTCTATCATATTCCCGATAACCACCGAGCTGTTTTGTTTCTTTGTTTGTTTTTGGATGGACCGATTTTCACATGGCCGGCATCTGCCCTCATGGGTTTTGGGGTGCACGACAAGTCCATTTTAAGCTATCCGTCCTCTGTTCCCACTCCTGGTGGAGGTCATGGTTCAGAGATCTTTCCTGGTGAAATGATGGGTTTCTCCAGATCTGGTCATTTGGATTCCGGCCCGCTTCCTCAGCGACATCAGTCATAAGGCCAGCCCCGCTCCCCCAGTCTCAGGGAATGAGATGAGATCCCCAGGTCCCCTAAAACTCAGGCTGTCACCTCTCACTCCCCACCTCTCCCCTGTCCGGCCTTCCCCCCAGCGTCTCCCAGGAAGGCAGCCCATGGAAGGGCGGTCATTCCTTATATTGCAAGTGCCTCCCCAGGGATGAAGGAGTCACTGCTCTGGTCACTCCAGCCTCGGAGCTGGCAGGTGTGGGGGTGCACATCACATATTTCCGGAATGGCAGGGGGAGGCTAGCAGCAGAATTCCCAGCCGCCTTCTCGAGGCGGCCTGGCGCCTCTGTCTCAGGCCTGGGGCATTCTCGGAGTTTTCTAGACAGCCCCCACTCTGGCGCCACTGGGCTTTGCTCCAGGAAGAGCTGAGATTTCCCTCGATCCTGGACATCAGGCCTGGGATCAGACCCAGGAGCCCAGAGATCATTTTATGTATTTATTTATTTTTTCCAGAGATCATTTAAAAATGCCTTGTGTTATGGAAAATTTCAAACATGCCCTGAAGTCAAGAATGCACGGTGACCCATGGGCCCGTCCCCGGACGCACAGTGACCCAGGAGGCACTGACCTCAGTTCCATGACACGCCTTCCCCCTCGACCTTATGAGGTTCCTGCTAATCCCAGGGTCATGCTTCTCATCCGAGACTTGAGATGGGTCTTACAGGATGAGCCCGGCTCCAAAATCAAAATCACCCTTGAGACCCTCTCTCCCCGTCTCTCCCCCATCTGTCTGTCTCTCTCACAGGTGGACTGGGTCCCCTGTCTCACCTCCCCCGTCTCCTGCTCTGGGCCTCCAGTCTGAGTGGGATGAGCCACGCTGTCGAACCTCCAGGGAATGGTTGACGGGCTGGACTTTGAAAGGGGCCAAAGTTATACACGCTGAGCCCAACCTGGGCCTGGCTCCCTTGCCCCACCCGTTAACCCCCTCCCCTCATCCTGGGAGCCACATTGCTGGGTCCCAAAGCCCCCCACCCCAGCTCCCCCATTGGTCACCCTGAATCCAACCTCCTGGTGACCCCAGGGGCTCCGGGGTCTCAAGGCACCGGCCTGGGCTCCTCAGCACCCCCAAGATTGTTCTAGAAGAGAAGCAGGACCACGAGTGGACCTTGTCAAGGGGCGGCTGCGCGCTGGGCATGGCTGAGGCGGTGCTGCTGAACGCCGCCTCACTGGGTTGGCCCGCACCCTGCAAGCAAGCCTGCCGTGTAGACGAACAACTCAGGCACTTGGACAACGGTGGGAATCGCGGTCCACCCGTTGTGTCGATTTACGTCAGCATAAAGCAAACACGTACAGCAGACAGGGCAAAGGACACCAAATCCAATCTAGGATGTATTTTTATTTTATTTTATTTTTGTTTATCCTGAGAGAGAGATGGAGCGCGTGTGAGCGGGGGAGGGGCAGAGACAGCGAGAGGGAGGGAGAGAATCCCAAGGAGGTTATTATGTCATTGCACAGATGGGGAAACGGAGGCAGCGTCTGGGTGTGGGGCTTTGACAGCTGTGACATCGCCCAGCCTAGACTGACTGCTTTTATCTTCTTTTCTGTGTTTATGTAACAGTATGTTCGTGTGTATTTCGCCAAGGCTTTGCAGATAGCACCTTAGGGTCGACATGATTTAAAATACAGATGCGTTTTATTCCGAAGGGAGGAAGGGAACATTACCAGGCACGTCTGGACAACTAGAGTCTATAGTGAGATAGCACTTGACGTCCTTCCGTAGGTACAGCAAAAAACTCAAGTTCCCCAAACAGAAGACTTTGTATAAAAGCACGTGAATTTTATGGGGCGCCTGGGTGGCTCAGTCGGTTAAGCGTCCGACTTCGGCTCAGGTCATGATCTCGCAGTCCGTGAGTTTGAGCCCCGCGTCGGGCTCTGGGCTGACAGTTCGGAGCCTGGAGCCTGCTTCCGATTCTGTGTCTCCCTCTCTCTCTGACCCTCCCCCCATTCATGCTCTGTCTCTCTCTGTCTCAGAAATAAATAAACGTTAAAAAAAATAAAAATAAAAATAAAAAAAGCACGTGAGTTTTGTTATGATGTTGCCTTTCCCCAACTGGTCTTAAAATAAAATTTCATATAAATGTGTTAAAGGTCAGCTTTGTTAGGGCATAACTCCCATACAATAGAATTCAGTACGTGACTCACGTACTGAGCCTGGGTGGCTCAGCTGGTGAAGTGTCCGACTCTTGATTTCAGCTCAGGTCATGATCTCGTGGTTCGTGGGATCGAGCCCAGAGTTGGGCTCTGTGCTGATGGCGAAGAGCCTGCTTGGGATTCTCTCTCTCCGTCTCTCTGCCCCTCCCCTTCCTGAGCTCTCTCTCTCTCTCTCTCTCTCTCTCTCTCTCGAAATAAATAAACGTTAAAAAATAAAACCTAGGGGCGCCTGGGTGGCTAAGTCGGTTAAGCGGCCGACTTCGGCTCAGGTTATGATCTCATGGTTCGTGGGTTCGAGCCCCGCGTCGGGCTCTGTGCTGACAGCTCAGAGCCTGGAGCCTGTTTCGGATTCTGTGTCTCCCTCTCTCTGACCCTCCCCCGTTCATGCTTTGTCTCTCTCTGTCTCAAAAATAAATAAATGTTAAAAAAAATTAAAAAAAAAAACAAAACAAAACCCAGTAAAGTACAGTTGGATGTGTTTTGGCAAATGCATAAATCCTGAAACTGTCAATCTGGATATCATATTTCCATCACCCAGAAAGTTCCATCGGCCCCGTGGCAGTCCATCCCCTCCCCCAGGTATACAGTAACAGATAGTGGATGTACACATTTGCCTTTACCAACTGGACATGGTGAGTTACAGATTCAACCGGGAGATGGAAACATCTCCTGCCATAGTCCCCCTGGGCTGAGCCCAGAGTGGGCTCAGGGGCCCGGGGTCAAGGTCTTCCTCTGGATATTGGCAATTGGCCAAAGTCCCATTTTATGGCCAGTACTAATGAGGCTAGAGACAAATGGCCCGGAGGGTCCAATGGGCCCTGATGTCAGCCCCTCAACAGTGAGGATAAAAAGGAAATGCGGGTGTGGCTATAGACTGAATGCTTGCGTCCGTTCCCAAGTTCATAAATTGAAACCCTGATCCCCAGTGTGATGGCGTTACAAGGGGGGGGGGGTGCCTTTGGGCGGCGATTAGGTCACGACAGCGGAGCCCCCACGATGGGATTAGTGCCCTTATGAGAAGGGACACAAGAGAGCTTGCTCCCTCTCCCTGCTTTCTGCCATGTGAGGACACAGACAGAAGGCAGGTGTCCACAAACCAAGAATCATCCCTCACCAAACACCGGATCTGCCGGCATCCCGATCTTGGACTTCCCAGCCTCCGGACTTGTGAGAAGTACCTGTCTGCTGTTTAAGCCCCCCGTTCCGTGGTAGTTATTGTCGTAGGAGCCTGAATGAAGATTTGCCACATCCCGGGGTCACCAGGAGCCCTCAACCAGTAGCTTCATCCTTCTGAGTCTCAGTCTCTCTGTCTGTAAAACGGGGATACTTCTGGAACCAGCCTGCTGGGGCTTTTGCGGCTATTAAATCTCCCTGCCAGGACTCAGCTGGGCACTTTTAGGCCTTAGAAGCTATTATTATTGTGATTGCCACTGTTGCCATCCCGGCTCTGGTTCTCGGTCCTGAGAGTTCCCAGCTGGGCGTCCCAGAACTCTTCTCTCTGCCTCCTGACTCCACCCAGCAGTGGCTTGTGGCCTTGTCTCGATCCTGCTGCTCTGTGCCCTGGGAAGTGGCTATGGCCATGTGGGCGAGGAGGGTGGACTGGGCCGGCAAGTAGCTCAGGAAATTCCAGGGCAGAGGCGGTGCTGGGCGCCGTTCACCTCACCTGCTCCTCCCCACCCCTCTGGCTGAGGATGCGCCCAGACTTTTGTCCTTCCCCCACTGTGGGTGGTTGAGGGCATCACATCCTGCTCCACTCGCTGGGAGACCCCGACCATCTTAAACTTAGCCTTGACTATCTGCTGGAGCCTGCAAATTGTCAAAGGGAGCTGGGGGTGGCACGAAGCCAGCCCCCAAAATTACGTTCGCTCTCACCCCAGGACCTTTGCACAGGCTGTGCCCACTACCTAGGATGCTCTGTGCCATGTTTGTACCTGCGAATCTCTTCCTCCAGCTCCCCATAAAGTGTCACTCCCATAGAAAGCCCCTCTGGGCCCTACTCAGGACCCTCTGGATCCTACTAGCACTGTGTATCTCCCTTTGGCATGTCTTGTCCAAGTTATAATTTTGCATTTATGCTGGTGACTGTATTTTTTTTTAATTTTTTTAATGTTTATTTATTTTTGAGACAGAGAGAGACAGAGTGTGAGCATGGGAGGGGCAGAGAGAGGAGGAGACACAGAAACTGAAGCGGGCTCCAGGCTACGAGCTGTCAGCACGGAGCCCGAGGCGGGGCTCGAACCCGCGAACCGCGAGATCATGACCTGAGCCGAAGTCAGACGCTCAACCAACTGAGCCACCCAGGCGCCCCTGATGACTGTATTAATACCCATCTCCCTTGCTGATGGGGAGCCCTGGGCACGCATGGGTTCGAGCGCCTGGCATGCAGTAAGTATTCAATAAAGAGTGGTGGGATCAAACATGGAGTTCAACAACTATTTATTGAATGTCTTCTTATTTTCACCCAACAACTCTGCTGAGCCCTTCAGAGCATCTGGGTGCTGGGGACACACTATGAATGAAGAAATCCTCTCCTTCCTGTGGTGCAGAGCCTCTTGCTGACATCCTAGTGAAACTCTTGAATAATGGCATCATTCTTGTCACCCAGGCCCTGCTCCCCAGAGGCACATGATGCACTTATGAGCTAATCAGCATCCTCACTTGGGCTCATCCCTGTGAGCCCCTGGGGGAGATAGGGACAGTGAACGTCAGTCCTATGATGCATCAGGCCCTTTCTCTGTGTCCGGCCTGTGATCCCCTCAAGACCTTCACAACCTCCTATCAGGGAGACTTCATCATAGGAGAGGCATATTTGATAAACACCTTGTTTTCTTGTTTGTTTTGTGTGTTTTTTTTTTTTTTTTTTTTT